TTTTTTATTCTATTTCTTATATACTTGGTTTTATTTATTTTTGTCTTGACTTTTAAAGCAAATAGGCACACAGAGCCCTATGATCCATGTACTTAAGTCAGCGCGTGGGGCTATCCCTCTTGAGTGGCTCTCACATCCATTCCTGTGACAAGCTGGAAGTGTTTTTCCCGTTGGGATCTGGATCGCACTGGTAAGGGCGGACCATCAACCATATTAAAAGCCAAGGTACTCTATGGAGTAGTTGTTACTAAGTAGACTCGTAAAAGTCACAGGGACCGTGAGCACTATTCTGAAGCACAGCAAATAGAAAGGGAAATCCTATGATCTTCATGGACCATTCTTCTGCTAGGTGGTTCTGGTCCACTTTCACGGCAAATTAATTTGGTCATCCAGTGGATTTTCTTGCGGGATATCCAGTAGATGATCTTCCCCATTTATCATCAATGCCTGTCCAGACGCCAAGGTCCCTTCCCTAGGGTCCAATTCTTATGAAAGACAAATGCAAAATAATGTGAATAAACATGTGAGTCGTACATTCCTAAAGCCTATTATGATAGGGGGGATCATCCCCCATTGACCAGAGATTGTCCCAGCCCGGGCCAACCTTTTGTTTGATGGCATAATCATCGCGGACCTCGGTCCGTGGGAGCATACATCTTTCGATCCGGCCCTTCAATCAATCCGTGATTCAAGCTAACCATGCTGGTCAGGGATATCCAAATCCCATATACCGGCCATTCAAGGCGATAATGAGGTAAGGAAATCCTAGCAACAAGCAGATTTCCGTATCAAGTAAGATGCTCCTGCAGAGTGGACAGAGAACTTAAAGAGACGGGAACCAACTGGAATCCAGATACTATTAGTAGTACTCCGTAAGGTATTGTTAAGAAGACCAGTTATGGAAAGAAGGAAAAATAAAATATAATAAAATATATTTTTTGGGACGCTCGGAAATATTTCCGGGCACAACACTCTCAAATGACGCATTCGGTCCCTTGACTTTTTAGTTATCAACTTCAAAAAAGTTGGCCACTCCAGGGGGACGAATTAGGGCAAATTAACGTCCCGGTTGGGCATGGACCAACTTTCGGGGATGGTGTTGCGAGAGATCCAGGTTTCAGTAACGTGACCGGGCCGAGGGACGCTATTCGGGTCTCGTTTGGCGCCGCTGCAAGTCGTAGGCAAGTGGAGAATGCTCACCTCCCCAGGATAGACCGTAGGTATCCGGAGAACTTCCTATTACTCGTAGTTTCAGAAGAAGGGAAGCCCATCGGGAGTGGAAACGGCTGCGAGGAGTGGAGTAGCATTCGGACCGTCATTGGGTGGGTATGTGGAGAGGATACAGTAAGCAGTCGCCGACCACTGGCTCAAAGCGCGCGGTCTTCAGCAGTCACTAACTGTGGATGGAATCTCCCCGCTCCACCCACCCCGCCGAACTTAGGCCGCCCTAATCCCATTAGTTCAAGAGTGAGGGAAATACCTAATCCACAATTGGGTCTAGCGTCCTTTCGGTGGAAAATGGATGGGTGACCGATTAATATTGAAACCCTCTGGATTCATGGATGGAGTCCGTTGGCCATGGTCTGGGGGAGGCAACACCGTCACGGTGTGGATCTGGGGGCATTTCATCGCCAACCCCAACGCCAACGCCTCCTGACCGATTTTGTTGGTGGACGTGTTGCATATTAGTTCACTACTTAAACATTCCTCCTCCCCAACCCCAGGTCTCGCCTCTTCTTTTCGTCCCCTTGGACGAAGAAGGTTTGAATGTGGTTCCCCAGTTACCAAACATATATATAACATAAATCTTTTTTATAAAAACAGAAAAAAAAAAGAAGAAATTAAACGAAAGGTCCTCTCCACTCTTGACTCTTTTTGATTTGGTTAACAGTCTTGGAATTGTGTTCTTCTTCTTCCATTGTCCTTTTTTTTTCTTTCCTTACCATATCAGTCCTCCTCTTATAACATCACTCTTTATGAGCTTAACTTAACACGCCAAGTTAACCGGTTGATGGATCTTTGGCGTCAACTGAATTCGCACACTACACCATGACTAATCTCACTGCCTCACCATCATCGAGTAACATGGCCGAGAACGAGGCCAAGGGGAAGCGAAAGGCTTCTACGGCGGGCCTCCCTGCCAATGCCCGACCCGTAAAACGGAGGGCATCGAAGGCATGCTGTTGCTGCCGTGCTCGGAAAGTCCGTTGTGACGTGGTGGAAAATGGCTCTCCTTGTACGAATTGCCGCCTGGATCAAGTAGACTGCATTGTCACCGAGAGCAAGAGGAGAAAGTTCGTCCATGCCGAAAACATGACCCGTTTGCCTCACTCGTCGCAGAACCGCGGGCTAACATCGAGTGCGCTACTTTGCCACTTTCCAGGAAATCCCGTGTTGAGGTTGACAACCCCAGCCATCAGCTCTCTCAATCGCCCGCGGAGGCCCCCGAAGACGGAAGTCTTCTGCGGAGACTCAGTGAATGCCACGGGCTCTCGGATGTTGCCCCTGCGTCTCCTTCCCAGCGTTCCGTAGACCTGGACCAGGGGCAACATATGCCACATCTTCTCTGTTCGTATCTGCCTGCGCCCCGAGGAACGAGACACGTTAAGTGTAAACGTATACACGTGTGTACTGATGTGACCAACCTATATAGATCAGAGCCAAGTCAGCAGAATTGGTGCCGGGGCTGAACGATATCGAAGAAGAATGGCGCCCAACCCTGCAGTGCCTGCCACCATGCCTCTGCATCACGTCACCTCGCAGATCCAGCAACTACTTGATCCTTCCTTCACCAATACCAGATCTGGAGGCATCATGCTGCCCGATTACATTCGAGGATTGCCACCTCGCTTACAAAAGGAGGACATCGAGTATCTGGCAATGAAAGGAGCGTTGACGGTGCCTGATGTGGGACTGCGGAATGAGCTGCTCAAAGCCTACGTACATTATGTTCACACGTATATGCCTCTCCTGGATCTGGAGGACTTTCTGCAGACTATCGCTCAAAATGACGGAATTCGCCGCATGAGCCTTCTTCTATTTCAGGCGGTAATGTTTGCCGGTACTGCCTTCGTTGACCTGAAGCACCTTCAAGCCGCTGGATACTCCAGTCGGAAGGCAGCCCGAAAATCATTCTTCCAACGCGCCCGGCTTTTGTACGACTTCGACTATGAGGTGGATCGGATCTCGCTTGTACAATCCCTGCTGCTGATGACCTACTGGTACGAAACCCCAGATGATCAGAAGGACACCTGGCATTGGATGGGTGTCAGCTTGTCTCTAGCACATACCATCGGTTTACATCGTGACCCGGGTAATTCTCGGATGGATGTTCGGCGCCAGCGAATGTGGAAGCGCATATGGTGGAGCACCTACACTCGCGATCGCCTAATTGCCCTGGGAATGAGACGTCCCATGCGTGTCAAGGATGACGATTGTGATGTGCCCATGTTAACCCTCGACGACTTCGAATTCCATCCCTTTTCACCGGAGATTGTCAGCATGGTAGGCAACTCGGAGATTCTCCAAAATGTGAGCCACCAGAAAGAGCTCGCGCTCATGTTCATTGAGAAGGCGAAGCTTTGTCTCTGTGTCAGTCACGTCCTTTCGGCACAATATTCCGTGCTCAGCCATAAGTTTGGCGGTACAATGGAAACAACCATGATGCTAGTCCCGAAAAAGTCGGCGGCAGAGACATTTGAGGTTCGACGATGCGACCAGGAGCTGGAGGATTGGCTGGCCCATCTTCCGTCGGAGATTCAATACGCTCCTATGGCCCCAGCGAAGCTAACCGAGGCACAAGAAGTCCTGCATTCCCATCGAGCTCTCTTAAAGATGGTTTACTTGACAACATCCAGCGCGTTACACCGTCCTCAGGTTCTTCCAGCCATGCCATTTCCCTCCACGGACGCAGAGTTACAGGATATCTCTCGGAATAAGGTTCGATTTGCCGCGGTCGAGATCACGAATATTGCTCAAGACCTGCACGCCTTAGATTTAACTCGCTATTTCCCTACTACCGGTGTGACCGTGCTCCTGCCTGCCGTTATCATTCATCTTCTTGATATCAAGTCCAGTGACCCCAACGTCCGGATGGTTAGTCTTCAACGGTTCTATCAATGCATGCGCATCCTCCAGCGCTTGCGGGAGATCTACGCGTCGGCCGACTTTGCAACGTCATTCTTGGAGGCCGCGATCCGCAAGGCCGGTATTCAACTCACGGTAGCACCTCAAGACGTACAGGCACGAAACAATAGCACATTTGATTCCGTTCGGTTAAATACATTGACACCGCCTCCGGACTCTCTAGCACAAAAGATTCCCGACTTGACATACCCCAAGACCAGCAGCACCCGGTTGGCTGGTGAAGCTGCAGAGGCCTCCGGATTCGCCTCTACGCCGCCACCATCAGACGGAAGTGAAAACGGCAGTACCAACAACATTAACCCACACTACCACCAGGACGCTTTCGCAATCCCCAATCTAGACTCCGACCTAAGCATTAGCGAACTTATGGATTTGGCAAATGATGCGGAGGTGACTCAGAACGACTTCGACGCCTTGATCAACTTTGATGACACCGGCGCGGAGTTGTTCGCCGCCGATGATGGTCTTAACATCAATGGCAACCCGAAAGGCCCAGGGTATGGTTTCAATATCGGCACAATGGACAACGTGCCGGACTTGTTCGGACCTGAGGGCAAAGAAGTTGGTTTGGCCGGGTTAGGCGACGGTCAACTCCATGAGGATCGCACCTCGACAACGCTGGGCGCCAACGAGGCACCACGGGCCGAATTTAATGGCATTGCCGAACTCGAAGCCGAGCTTGGATTGAATCTATGATTCAAGCAAGCTATGTGTTACGATTTCTTTTTTTTCTTTTCCATTCTATTTCCCTTTTGTCCGGGTGATTACGCGTGTATCTGTGGGGTTGGGTGTGACTTGATCTTATATTCACTTGGACGGTTTCAAAAGTAAGGACATGTACAGGATGGCGCATCATGTGTAACGGCACTCTAGGATGTGATTTATGTCGGTTCCACATCCCCGTGAGAACAACTGTGTTTATATTGTATAGAGATCATCTCGAAAAGTACATAATGATGAATATGACAGACCGATATATGAATTATTATTTTTATTAATTTTACTATTTGAT